GCACAGTGTACGCCCGGCTTAAGGCTGAGCCCGGCCACCCTACGGAGGAAACTCATTTCGGCCGCTTGTATCCGCGAGCTCGTTCTTTCGGTCATTACCCAAAGCTCATGACCATAGGTGAGGATTGGGACGTAGATCGACCAGTAAATCGAGAGCCTGGCTTTCTGGCTCAGCTCCCTCTTCACCACGACAGATCGGCTCAGCGTCCGCATCACTGCAGACGCCGAACCAATCCGCCTGTCGATCTCCCGATCCCTCCTACCCTCACTCGTGAACAAGACCCCGAGATACTTATACTCCTCCACTTGAGGTAGGACCTCTCCCCCGACCCGGAGGTGGCAAGCCACCCTTTTCCGGTCGAGAACCATGGTCTCAGATTTGGAGGTGCTGATCCTCATCCCAGCCGCTTCACACTCGGCCGCGAACCTACCCAGCAAGAGCTGAAGGTCAGAGCTGGATGAAGCTAGGAGGACCACATCATCTGCGAAAAGCAGAGACGAGATCCTCCTGCCACCAAACTCGACACACTCCACACCACGGCTGCACCTAGAAATTCTGTCCATAAAGGTAATGAACAGAACCGGTGACAAAGGGCAGCCCTGGCGGAGTCCAACCCTCACCGGGAACAGGTCCGACTTACTACCGGCTATGCGGACCAAACTCACGCTCCTCTGGTAAATGGACTGAATGGCCCTTAACAGAAAGCCACCCACCCCATACTCCTGGAGCGTCCCCCACAGGGTTCCCCTGGGGACACGCTCATAAGCCTTCTCCAAATCCACAAAACACATGTACACATGCCCCCTCCATCACCCTTGCAAGGGTATAGAGCTGGTCCACAGTTCCACGGCAGGACGAAAACCACATTGCTCCTCCTCAATCTGAGATTCAACTATCGATCGGACCCTCCTCTCCAGTACCTTGGAGTAGACCTTTCCAGGGAGGCTGAGGAGTGTGATCCCACTATAGTTGAAAAACACCCTCAGGTCACCCTTCTTAAAGATGGGGACCACCACCCCGGTCTGCCACTCCACAGGAACTGCCCCCGATGACCACGCAATGTTGTAGAGACGTGTCAACCATGACAGTCCTACAACATCCATAGCCTTGAGATACCCAGGACGAATCTCATCTGCCCCCGGGGCTCCGCCGCTGTGTAGTTGTTTGACTACCTCAGCAACTTCTGCCCCCGAGATTGGACAGTCCATCTCCAGGTCTCCCGGCTCTGGTTCCTCCTCGGAATGCGCATAGGTGGGATTGAGGAGCTCCTCAAAGTATTCCTTCCACCATCCGACTATAGCCCCAGTTGACGTCAGCAGCTCCCCATCCCCACTGTAAACAGTGTGAGCGAGTTGCTGCCTTCCTCTCCTGAGGCGCCGGACAGTCTGCCAGAACCTCTTTGGAGCCGATTGATAGTCTTTCTCCATGGCCTCACCAAACTCCGATATTTAACCTTGGCAACTGCCACTGCTGCACCCCGCTTGGTTATCCGGTACCCGTCTGCTGCCTCCCGAGACCCACAGACCAGCCACGCCTTGTAGGCCTCCCTCTTCAGCCTGACGGCTCCCCGAACCTCTGGTGTCCACCAGCGGGTACGGGGGTTGCCACCACGACTGGCACCGGTCACCTTGTGACCACAGCTAGCAACAGCCACCTCGACAATCGCAGAGTGGAACAAGGCCCACTCGGAGTCAATGTCCCCCACTGCTCTCGGGACGTGGTCAAAGCTCTGCCGGAGGTGGGAGTTGAAGACCGTCTTAACAGGTTCTTCTGCCAGGCGTTCCCAGCAGACCTTCACTATGCGTTTGGGTCTGCGAGGGCTACGCGGCATCTTCCCCTGCCATCTGCTCCAACTCACCACCAGGTGGTGATCAGTTGACAGCTCCTTTCCTCTCTTCACTCGGGTGTCCAAAACATACGGCCGCAGGTCAGATGATACGACTACAAAGTCTATCATCGGCCTGTGACCTAGGCCGCCCTGGTACCAAGTGTACCGATGGGCATCCTTATGTTAGAACATGGTGTTCGTTATGGCCAAACTACGGCTTGCACAGAAGTCCAATAACGAAACACCACTCGAGTTCAGAACAGGCGGGCCGTTCCTCCCAATCACCCCCCTCCAGGTCATGCTGTCATTGCCCACGTGAGCATTGAAGTCCCCCAGCAGGACAATGGAGTCCCCTGGGGCACTATCTAGCACTCGTCCCAGGGACTCCAAAAAGGGTGGGTACTCAACCTCTGCCACAAGCTCCTGCTCCTTCCCCGCCAGAGAGGTGACGTTCCATGTCCCAAAAACCAGTTTTCTTGTCCGGGGATCGGACCGCCAAGGCTCCCGCCTCGGTCTGCCACCCGATCCACATTGCACCGGATCCTTCATGTTCCTCCTGCAGGTGGTGGGTCCACATTTGGATGAGCCCATCTATCCGGTTCGGGCTGGGCCCGGCCAGGCCCCATGGGCGAAAGCCCGGCCACCAGGTGCTCGCTCACGGGCCCCAACCCCAGGCCTGGCTCCAGGGTGGGACCCCGGTAACCCTCCGAGCCGGGTACTCCGACTCTTTGAATTTACTTCAATGAAAGATCCTGTGAACCGTTCTTTGTCTCACTCTTCACCTAAGACCAATTTGTCATGGGAGACCCTACCAGGGGCACAAAGTGCCCCAGACAACATGTTTATAATCCCTGGAGAGGGTTTCTGATTCACAAACAATCAGAATAATACTGAAGGCAACGATCTATCCATATAGATAGTTAGACAGACAGACAGACAGATAGATCCGATGCATTTATTGTGTTTTGAAGTCCTCAGAAGGACGGGACCATCATCACTTAGAAACCAGAGAGAAGAAAGTGAGCAGCCGGAGCAGTAAATACAAACCAGTGCTGTTTTTGGTGGACATCTTAGTTTTAGTCTTAGTCTTGATGAAGAAAATGCCTTTTAGTCGTAGTCAGTTTTAGTCTACAAAGATTTTCGTTTTTAATTTTACAAAACAATAAACAAAGTATTATTCTCTAACAAATGCATTTATAGGTCAGGGAACTGCGTTCCCACGGCAGGGAAACCCTAGCCTTAACCCCACCTACATCACAAATCCATGGTTTGAGCTTTCTGATGTGGGTGGGAGCCAGCTTCACTCAGCTGCTGCTGCTGTCTGAGCACAGGACTCGCACAGCAGCAGCACTGTTACTTTTAGCTGTTCAGCGGCGGGCAGAAATGTGTATTTTGAGCATTGTTAACATCTAGTCTAGTCTTGGTTGTTAGCAAAAATTCCTGTTCATCTGGTCATGTTTTAGTCACCAAAGCTATTTTTAGCAGGCAGCCTCTCGTTTTCGTTATGAACAAAAGGAGCATCGACGAAATCAGTACATCATCGTTTTCATTAACGAAAACAACACGGATACAAACGTGGAGGAAAAGCCAGCAGATTGAGGAGATGCAGGAGTCTGAGCCTATAGCAGCATACCTAAAGGGCAGCAGTAGCTCAGGAGGTCGAGACGGTTGCCCAGTAATCGGAGGGTTGTGGGATCTATTCCAGCTCCCACCAGAGGATGCTGCTGTTGTGCCCTTGGGCAAAACACCTAACCCACCATTCCAGCTGGTCGGAGGGACTGGTGGTGCCAGTGCTCAGCAGCCTCGCCTCTTGTCAGAGCGCCCCAGGGCAGCTGTGGCTACATGTAGCTCATCATCACCAGGGTGTGAATGTGTGTGTGAATGGATGAATGATACACTGTATTGTAAAGCTCTTCTAAGTCCTCTGACTCTGAAAGGCACTAGACAAGTACGAGTAAGAGCGACATTTGCGCTGTATAACATATGAAAGATCAGACCATACCTAACACAACATGCCACCCAGCTCCTGGTGCAATCTGCTGTCATCTCCCACCTCCATTACTGCAACGCCCTTCTAACTGGTCTTCCAGGCTGTACTGTGAGACCTCTTCAAATGGTCCAGAACGCAGCGGCGCGTCTGGTCTTCAACCAGCCAAAAAGAGTGCACATCACGTGTGTGTGTGTGTGTGTGTGTTAAAGTCTTACTTGTCCACAGGATAGGTCGCCAACTCTGCCTCTGCCTAGATACATTCTTAAACTCACACACTCTGATTGCCATCTTTATGTAAGCTGAAGTCCAACACTATAAGTTAACGCTGAGCAGCACCTGCCACGACTCACTGGGGATTGAGAAAACACAGCAGACACACACACACACACAAGTTCAATGGATCTGCGTCGGTTTCATTTTCAACCTCACTCTAATGACACTGTGTCACCAAGCAGTGTTTCTATGGCTACATTGTGATTTCTTAGTAAATATTGTGTTTAGTAAGAAATAAACGTTACTATCTTTATCCTAGTGAATCTAGTAGTAGCCCTTACTGGGTTGTAAAAATGGTGACCTGTCTGCTGCTCTTTTTTATTGTCTCATGTGGGATCGGATGGCTTCAGGTCCAAGCTCTTGATAAGATTACCCTGGAGAGAGTGTCAGCAGAGAGGAGTGAGTGTCTTCAGAGGATGGAGCAGTGGGCAGTACAGGAGCGCCTGGAAACAGAGAGGAGACAGGTACCTTCACCAGTCCATCTGTGTTCTCGACGTTCCTCTGGTCTCTGTGTCCTAGATGTTCCTCTTGTCTTAGTGTTCTAGACGTTCCTCTGGTCTTTGTGTCCTAGATGTTCCTCTGGTCTCTGTGTCCCAGATGTTCCTCTTGTCTTAGTGTTCTAGACGTTCCTCTGGTCTTTGTGTCCTAGATGTTCCTCTGGTCTGTGTGTCATAGATGTACCTTTGGTTTGTATCGTAGAGGGCCTTCTGGTAACTGTTGTTGATGTTCCTCTGACTGTGGCGTTGTAGGTGGGCCTACCGGGTCTGGGCCCACCCACTTGCACGTGGGCCCTCCGTAAGACAGCCGAGATCTGCTTTAACCGATCACAATAGGTGACAGCAACCAATACCGGTCGCTCATGTACGTCAAAGTTATCTTTCAGCAGAAGATAATTAATAAACCATCCATCCATTTTCGGACGCTTATCCGGGGTCAGATAGTGGGTGCAGTAGCCTAGGCAGGGAGGCCCAGACTTCCCTCTCCCTAGCCAATTTTGACCAGCTCCAGAATCCTAAGGCATTCCCTGACCAGCCACGAGACCTAGTCTCACCACCGTGTCCTGGGTCTTCCTTTAGGCCTCCTCCTGGTTGGACGTGCCCAGAAAACCTCACCAGGGAGGCGTCTAGGGGGCATCCTTACAAGATGTCCGAGCCACCTCAACTGACTCCTCTCAATGTGGAAGAGCAGCGGGTCTACTCCGAGCCCCTCCCAAATGACCGATCTTCTCACCCTATCTCTAAGGGAGAGCCCAGCAACTCTGTGGAGAAAACTCATTTCGGCCGCTTGTACCCGCGATCTCGTTCTTTCGGTCACTACCAAAAGCTTGTGAACATAAGTGAGGGTAGGAACATAGATCGACCGGTAAATCGAGATCTTTGCCTTCGGGCTCAGCTCTCTCTTCGATCTCACGCTCCATCGTTCCCTCATCTGTGAACAAGACCCTGAGATACTTAAATTCCTCCACTTGGGGCAGGACCTCATCCCTAACCTGGAAAAGGCATTCTACCATTTTCCGACTCAAGACCATGGTCTCGGATTTAGAGGAGTTGCTTCACCCTCGACTGCGAACCGCTCCAATGAGAGCCGGAGATCACGTTCCAATGAAGTCAGCAGGACCACATCATCTGCAAAAAGCAGAGACCTGGTCCTTAGGCCACCAAAACGGATCCCCTCAACACCTTGACCGTGCCCAGAAATTCTGTCCATAAGAGTTACGCACAGAATTGGTGACAAAGGGCAGCCTTGGCGGAGTTCAACTCTCACTGGGAACGAGCCCAACTTACTGCCGGCAATGCGGACCAAGCTCTGACACCGGTCTTACAGGGATAACAGCCCGTATCAGAGGGCCACGTACCCCATACTCCCTAAGTACCCCTCAGAGGGCCCCCTGAAGGACGCGGTCGAACGCCTTCTCCAAATCCACAAAACACATGTAGATTGGTTGGGCAAACTTCCACGCACCCTCCAGGATCCTCCTAAGGGTATAGAGCTGGTCCAGTGTTCCACAGCCAGGACGAAAAACACATTGCTCCTCCTGAATCTGAGGTTTGACAATCCGCCAGATCCTCCTCTCCAGAACCCTGGAATAGACTTTACCAGGGAGGCCAGCTCTACCTTCTCCGCTGACACTGACAAGAGACGTAGCGGAGCACGGCAACCCCCGACACCCCCCGTCATTTCAGGTCTTTATCATTTTTGTTTGGATTTTAAAATATGAGAATCTTTACATCTAGAATTGGTATCAAGCCCCCACAATGCGGCTCAAAAATTGAGGCCAACCCGGAAATACCAAAAATTGCAGTTCCACCCTCATCCACTAGGGGCTGGTGTCAGAAGCGAGCGAATCCTCATTGACTCCCATGTTAAAAATACCAATTTCACAGCAGAAATAAACATGTTTACAGCCTGGTACCAGAACATGTTTTTGGTTTAAATGATCTAGTTTACACTCATGACAACTCTGAGGGGGGTGAATGTTTTTCTCACTCTTCTGTTTAAGTGTATTAAAAGCCTAAAATTCTGTATAATTAATGAGCATCAGACCCACGTGACCACAGAGCTAGCTCCGTGGAAAGGCCTCAGTAGAGCCTCGGTCTGGCTTGGAAACTGTTCCGGGATTTTCAGTCTCTGTGTGTGTGTATTCTTTTTTGGATATTATTTGTGCAATTGTTGGACAAAATGACTTGCTGTGGCATTAATTGCACTAATAGAGCGTCCAAGGAGTCTCCACTTCATTTTTTTCGGTCAGTAAAATTATATTTATGTATTTTAGGTCACTGCCGAGCTGAGCTTAGATGTTAACATGTACTGTTTAACCATGAAATTTAAATGTAATAGGGTAAAACCCAGTGCATTTAACATAATGCTGCACTTTAGAAAATGGGTTGAAATATAACATGTTGGTGGAGCTGGGTTCCCACTATCGGCTTGTGGAGCTCTCGGGAGACCTCTGTTTTCCACCCGTTCTCCCCTCCCCGCAGCTCGGCGCATCTCTGTCTGATCGCGGCTTCTGTCTGCTGCGCGGGCTGCCGGCTTGTGGAGCTCTGGGATGGAAACCTTTCCACCCGGTTTTCCCCAGCGGCAGCTCTGCGCATCTCAGATCGCAGCGGCGCTTGTCTGCTGTGCAGCTGCCGGCTTTCAGCAGCTTTCGGGAGACCTCTGTGTTCCACCCGGTTTTACCCAGCGGTCAGCCCGGCGTATCTCTGACTCAGAAGCTCTGGTGTTGTGCACAGTTAACTCCGGTTGTAGCTAGGTTGCTACCTCTGTTAGCTTAGCTCCCACCTCTGCGTTAGCTTTGGGTTAGCTTGTAGCTAGTTCGACCGGGTGTCGTGCCTTACAGCCCCACCCTCAGCTCCTCCTCTCTTCCCTTTTTTGGAATTGTCTGGGCTTGACGGAACCTGTGACACGGTCAAAATGGCGGTGGTGGCCACCTCCCATTTGGCTTCAAAAACGTGTTATTGGAGCCTATGGAAATGAATTGTCCAGTATTTATATGTTGATGATTGGCATACAGATAAAAAAATGAATGCTACAAAATAAAATACATTTTAATTAAATATTCATTCATTATTTTACAAACACAGAGAGCCGCATCAGATGGATGAAAGCCGCGGGTAGCCAACCCCTGCTCTGGTCTGGTCTCTGTATAAGTGTCTCGAACACTGATACTAGTGGAAATGTTCTTTCAGCAGCATGACATTTGGTTGTCCTTTTATCAGGTGTCTCTAGTCAAAGAGCTGAAGAGCTGGTGTCTGTCCAAACTGCAAGATATGGAGGTCCACCATGCAGGAGGTCTTGAACCTGAGCTGCAGACTTCTTCCTCTGTAGCTGAGTGTTCGAGTAAAGCTGATGGAGCCACCCACTCCGTGCTACCTGGCAAGAGTGGTAGAGCTTCTCCAGAGGTCCACAGTAACCCAGAGGTCCTCTGCCAGGAGGAATTCAACATGAAAGAGAGCAGAACAACCAACCACTACTTTGTGGTTCATGTGGAGAACTCTTCAGGTGAGGACTAAATATGTGCAGACAATAGTAATTCAAGCTTAGATTAACTCAAGGTTAGGTGAGATAAATTCAGGTTCATGTTAGATTAACTTGGGTTCAGGTTAGATTAACCCTGACCAACATTCCACAGGCCACAGTGAACAACCTGATGAACTCTACGCGACAGAGATGTGTTGCCATGTGTGAGGCAAATGGTGGCCACACCAGATACTGACTGGTTTTCTGCCCCACCACCCCCACAAAGCAAAACTGTGCACATGTCAGGGTGTCCTTTTATTGTGGGCAGTCTAAGGCACACCCGTACATTATTCATGCTGCCTAATCAGCCCCTTGATATGCCACAGCTGTGAGGTGGGATAGAGTGTCTTGGTAAAGGGAAAGTGCTCACTAACACACATGTAGACAGATTTCAGAGCAACATTTGAGAGTCATGGGTGTTTTGTGTATAGAGACACATTTTCAGATGTTTCAGCTCATGAAACATGGGAGCAAAAACAGTGTTGTGTTTATGTTTTTGTTCAGTGTAGAATTGGCATAAAGATAAAAAATGACTGCAGTAAAATAAAGTACATTTTAATTCAATATTCTTTCATTATTTTACTAACACAGAGAGCCACATCAGATGGATTAAAGAGGGTTTGATTAATGCATAAATCCAGAGGTTTTTTTAACCTTATGTCAACATCTAGAAACTAATGAAAAATTCAATTCACTTTATTTATATTGTGCCAAATCATGACAAGAGGCACTTCACACAGTAAACATTCAGCCAATCAGTAAAAAGTTTCCTATATAAGGAACACAGCAGGTCGCATCGAGTCACTGACTAGTGTCAGAGTCTTTACAGCAATCCTCATACTAAGCAAGCATGCAGTGACTGTGGAGAGGAAAACTCCCTTTTAACAGGAAGAAACCTCCAAAGAATCCTGGCTCAGTATAAAGGTTGGTTTATGCTTGACGCGTCCGCGAGGTCCGCACGGCGAAATTGCATAAGTTTAACAACCACCGCGCCTCCACACGGCCCAAAATTTCTGCACCTAGGAAATTTTCTAACCACGCGGACGGTCGGACGCGGAAAAACATGGCGGACTGGCAGTAACTAGTATGGCAGAGGTTTGTAAATACAGACATTTGTATGATTCAGCTCTCAGAGATCACCGTGATCAACATGTTAATAATTCTTGGAGAGAAATAGCTCGCACTGTCGGAAAAGATGAGAACGCTGTTAAAAATGCTGGAATGCCATGTTGTAAACAGTAATTTCTACTTCCACTATGGTGTAGTGTTGGATGCATGCTGTAGAGCTCCATGCTGCCCCCTACAGTTTGGGAGAATATTGGCTCACCGCAGAGACGAGCCGCACGAACCATAAACGCTGCGAGTTGTGAAGCGCGCGTTCCAGCCGCGAGCCGCATCACCAAGCGGAAAGTAAATGTGTCAAGCATAAACCAAGCTTACGCAGCCATCCACCATGACTCACTGGGGATGGAGACAGAGCAGACACACACACACACACACACACACACACACACACACACACACACACAACATATATACCAATTAGTGTTTCTAATAGAGGCCCGACCAATAAGGTTTTTTTAAGGCCGATGCTGATTTTTAAAGAATATTGTTGCTGATGTCCAAAGCCGATTACTAAGGCTGAAATACGTTTTAGCAGCACATTGATTGTGAGAGCAATCCATGTGTGTGCAATATCAATTAAATAAATCAATAAATCTCTTAGTATTTATTGAAGTTCAAATATAAAACAAACACAAAACATAACAATGAGCAAACTGTTTCAGAACAATAGAAAATAGAACAGGTTCAATTTTTTAAGTGTTTAAAATAAAGAAAATCAAACAGTGCCCAGAATAATGCTGCTAAATAGTAGCTGGTCGAGGTTCAAGCTAAAACAAATCACTACGTAAAGCACACTACCACATTGTAGTAACAATAACATTTTAACTATACATGAAGAATAGTGCAAACATGAAACACCAAACATATTCCGCTCAGAAGTAAAATGTTGCCTGTCAGATTTCCCAGAGTTAGATAAGTGAGAAAAAGTATTTAGTTGCTAACAAGCTCAGTCGTTCTCCTGATCTGGAAGCAGTTTAGCGTTAGCTTAGCATAAAGCAATGTGAGTAAAAGGAAGGTTCTATGCTAGAGCGGTAGAAAATTCCCGTAGGTGCAAACAATGAAAAAGGCGCCTGATTCTTAATTTTTTTTAATTGGCTTTTAAAAATAATATCGGCCGATGACCGATATAGAAAAAATGGAATATATCGGCCCCGGCCTCTAATTTCTATGGCCACATTGTGATTTCTTAGTAAATATTCTATTTAGTAAGAGATCAACTTTATTATCTGCGTCTTAGTGCATCAGGGTTAATTCAACATGTAAACTAGTAGTAGCACATTCCATGTCAGAGTAAAATGTTATCAGGAGATAATTATGTATTACACCGTAAACGGTCCCACCACCTCCATATGTGCAGCAGAAACGATGCCTCTCCTTCATCAACACCAACACGCACGTGTGTGTGTGTGTGTGTGTGTGTTAAAGTCTTGTCCAGACACGTTCTCATTGTGGCTTCAGTTCTCCTAGGTTCTGAGTGGTTCCTTTTGAATATTAACTACATCCCATCTACAGTCCAAACAGATGGAGATAAGACCCAAAACATCACATCGCCAGCAGCAAGGAGCCCCATGTCATCGGCCCGGGTGGTCCGGCCAAAGCAGCGCTCTGTGGTCTCTGCAGACCCCCAGAAGAACCAGACCAAGGTGGACACGGTCGGGATGGAGGCTGAACAGAAAGCACCAAGTCCATCTCTGGTCACAGAACATCAAAGCAGAGACTGGAGACGAGGTCGTGAGAGAGCCAAGCCCTGTAAGAAAAGATCCCAGGTCCGATCTAGGACCAGAGAGCAACCAGGACTCAGGACTCTCCATGTGTTTGGAGATGAGACTAGTGGGCAGTCCTTTGCTCAGGAGAGGGACAGCATGCACGCCATGGAGGTGACCCAGTACTTCTTTGAGACGGTGTCGACCCAGATGGAGCGCTGGTATGAGCGGAAGGTGCAGGAGGCGCGCTGGCAGGCTGACCAGAGGGCCCGGGCTGATAAAGAAGTTCTGATCCAGAAGATCGCCTGTTTGGAGGACGAGTTGCACACGCTGAGGACTCACCAGCACCACTCCTAACACACACCTCTAAACCAATGGCCAGCATGGATGTGTGTGTGTTTGGACCTCCAGCCATCATCAGGAGGTCTAGTCAGACTTCAGTGTGTCTTTACCTGATCACACCTGAACTCTTTACCACCTGGCACCACCTCTGTGGCTGAGTCTCGCTGTGGTTCTGGTTCTGTCTGCTGATTGGGTCCATTTTCACAGACTTGTCTCCGTTTGTGTCCTGATGACTTCACGTCCCAGTGAGACCTAGCAACGTCTCCTACGAGACACATCCTCCCGATGGGTCTGGCCCTGAGGTCAGACTGGCCTCTACTCCCATCCCAGAATGCACCGGGGCGCTCCCCATCCATCCTGTGGCTGAATGGTTTTATGCTGGTGAAACGTTTTCAGTACAACAGATGATTTTTTTACCAGTACACGAAGCTTGTTCTGGTTTAGCTACCTTGTCTTAGAAAAGCTAATCTTTCTTTACATTTTGATGTAAGACGTTTAAATATTTATGTTTTCCTTTTCCAATAAACTGCAGTGGGTGGAGTTTGACTGGGATGGAGGGTTTAACTCTCACCAACACAGGGCGGTGTCATCTCTAGTCTCACCTGAGATCAGGTGTTTTTATTAAACTGTCCTGTGACATGGTTACGGTGCTTTAAGGACACGGTTAAAACACCCCGTCCCTCACAGACTTGTGGGTTTTAGTGTTTGTTCCAGTGGTCCACTGAAGTGTCCTGTCATCCTGACCCGATACAGGTGGAGTTCTGACTCACAGAACCATGAAGACTGATGGTTCCAGAACCAGACAGCTGTTGCTCTCATGAGACCGAGGCGGTGGCCCACACATCAGAGGTTAGGTGGCAGCAGTCAGCTGAAGCTAGAGGCCGAGGGTGGAGCCGGTACCATCAGGGTTATCTTTGGCCTCACTGGTTGTCCAACGGTCTTGCACCTTGGTGTCTGACGTCTGCTTCACTCACCTCCAAAACTCAGGCGTATTAAATAACGAGTAGACACTCTGGTTTGGTTTCTTTATTCACACACAGGTCAGTCTCAGATGAACCACATCATGAAGTGGTCATCTCAGAAGGTCAGGGACTGCTAACTTCTGGCCAGAGCCAGAGTTTTCTGTAGCTCCTCCAGGTGTCTGCTGGCCTGAGAGACCATCATTCGAATCGCGTCCTGTCCAATCAGAGGACAGGTGAGTTAAAACATTTAAGCTGTGATGAGGATGGACATCGTGAAGGCTGGACTCCGTACCTGGTCGCTGGCATTCTTGTTCCTCTTGAACTCCTGCCTGGCCCAGTCTCTCAGGTACTTCCGGTCTGCCTGGTCCGGAACCTGCCGAATGGTCCTCAGCATGGTTCTGTAGATCCCCAGCACCTTCTGCCTCTGCAGGTACTGACACAGTCACATGCTAGCGTTAGCTTTAGCCTTTTAGCAGTTTGAGCTTTAGCTGCTTCAGATTGTCCCTCCTCGGCTACTTTACCTGCTTTAAAGAAAGTACCGCGGGCGGTAAACCTGAAACCATTTTCACAACAAAACAACGAACCCGCGCAGGAATGCGTGTTGCTGGGTCATCATATGGAAGGCTGGGAGTGCCACAAACGCGTCTCCTTCACGTGCTGTTCACGCTGCCTCACTGTAAACAACACGTGAGGTCCGCGTTGACTTTCCAAGCATAAAAAAGACAATTATTAAAGTTAAAGTAACACATAAAATCCACCTGTTTGGTTTGATCGGTGTTGTCGGCTACACTTCCGGGTAGTTTGAGTCAGGTCTCTTCTCATTGGCTGGTGAGATCCAGGAGAAACCACTTCAGCGGTGGGGTGGGGACAGGGGGGCTGTCAGAGATTTTGGGCCCCATGGGGGCTCGACCATAGCTGGAGCTGGGGTTCCACTCTCCCAGATCTGAAGGGAGAAAAAAACTATAATATATATACTTTTATATTAGTGTTTCAGTTTTGCTTAATTATGTAGGTCTACATATCATTTTCACCAGCTGTCTCTCATTAAACAGTGAATTTCCTTCAACAGAATTAGCAATATCACTGCTGGAAAAAGCAGGAAATGCACATGCTGAAAGGTGTTAATCTCCTTTTCCCTATTACTCCCTTAAAAGGTGTTTATTTATTCTAAAATTTTATTTGATGATAAAATTCAAATTTGGATATTTAAAGAGCAAGTAACGTCTAAAATAACTTTTTTTGCTGATGAACTGTATAAACGAGTGTCTAATAGTGTTTTAAATGTGTGTATTCATTATTTTAGTATTTTGGTGCATTTTCTTTAAAAATTAAAAATTCTGCCTAAATACCACAGTATAGCTCCACCTTCAGCTTAAAACATAGAATTTGACTCATTTTGAATAAATTTTAGCCAATGGCTAAAGAGTAAGATACTACGTAAACCAGTGCGAGTTGGGAGTTGGATTTGCAAGCGAGTGTAGGAGGTTAGCCTAGTTCAGCATTAGCATATAGCATTAGCATATCCTAGTCTTTAGCATAGCTTTTAGTGTTATACATACTTATTTAGTGTTAGTTTGGCTGTTAGATATTGTAGTTTAGTTAGTGTTTGGCTGTTAGTGTTATCAGGAAAGTAGTTCGGTTTTAGTGCTCCATATCGTGTTAGTATGCTGTGAGAAGGTGTAGTGTATGGTTGCGGTGGCTCTGTGGGGTTGCACTCCTTTCCGCTGGACTTAGAAATTAGGCGCCAGTGATTGCGCGCAATCGGTGTCTGGAAAATATCCAGCTCCCGCCTGGTGCTGTAGTTTGCAATCAGCATTTTACCCGCGATTCTGCACGTCTCCGTTTGAAGAGGGAGGCTGTGCCCACCGTGGCTCTTCCGCGATTTAGATGCAGCCCACCAGCTCTGCTCCCCCACCACGGCGGGCTTCAGTCTGAGGTGAGTACGCTAAATTAATGTTTTAACATCTTCTAAAGACAATTCCCTACCTAAATGCAAAGTCTGAGAGACGTGGTTCACTTCCTTTAGCTAGTCAGTCGGTAATTCTGCAACAGTGTCTCTAACTGATGCAGTACTAGTTGACAGACAGCATTACTGCGTGAAATCCAGCTTGTGACCCGGTTCCATGAGGAATTCTGTTCAGGAGGTCGCATTTCACCTGTTGCTAACCAACTACACTCTCATCTATCCAGCAACTCCCTCTACGAAGTCTTCCAGTCTGGTTTCCGCCCCCACCACAGCACAGAAACGGCTCTGATCAAAATCACAAACGACCTCCTTCTTGCAGCAGACTCAGGCCAGATTTCCATCCTCATCCTACTCGATCTCAGTGCAGCATTTGACACCATCTCACACACAGTTCTACTCCATAGACTATCCACATTCGGCATTTAAAAAACTCCTCTAAATTGGTTCAAATCTTATCTATCTAATCGCACTCAATTTGTCCAACTGCGCACCTTCCACTCTAACCCCAAGCCAGTTACCTCTGGAGTTCCTCAGGGCTCAGTCTTAGGTCCCCTTCTTTTCATAATCTACTTACTCCCACTTGGCAATATCTTCATGAAATGTAATATTCATTTTTACTGCTACGCCGATGACACCCAGCTCTACTTCTCTACCCAACCAAAACTCCCGCTCCCTTCATCCTCCCTTCTCAGTTGCCTCACCGAAGTCAAATCCTGGTTTTCTTCTAACTTTCTACAGCTCAACAGTAATAAGACTGAGATCCTCCTCACTGGCACCAAGTCATCTCTATCCAAGACCAGTTCATTCTCACTCAGCTTCGACAACACCACAGCAAGGAGCTGGGCGTCATCCTAGACAACACCTTATCCTTCATTCCTCATATTAACAACACAATAAAATCTGCTTATTTTCATCTTCGCAATATCAACAGGCTTCGCCCCTCCCTCAGTCAGCACTCCACTGCTATTTTGGTCCACAGCCTGGTCACCAGTCGCATTGATTACTGTAATGCCCTCCTCTCTGGTCTCCCTTTAAAATCACTCAACAAGTTACAGTTAGTCCAAAATTCAGCTGCCCGGATAATCACTAAGACCTCCACTTTTGATCACATTACCCCTGTCCTGCAACAACTTCACTGGCTCCCTGTCAAATACAGAATTGACTACAAGATACTTCTTCATGCCTTTAAAGCCATCCATAATCTCGCTCCCCCATATCTTTCTAATCTCCTCCACATTGTCACTCCCACTTGCTCTCTCCGATCATCATCTTCACCTTCCCTGTCTGTTCCTCGCACTCGTCTTAGTACTATGGGAGCCAGAGCTTTCAGCCACTCAGCTCCAAAACTCTGGAACACTCTACCGCCTGACCTCCGCAATATAAACTCCTTCTCACCCTTCAAGTCTCAACTCAAAACTCACATGTTCCGCCTGGCTTACTCACTGTAACTGTCCTCCTCCCATCTACTCCTTTTAGTCTATTATCCATCACACTGCTCCGACTCTACCTTTGGGTATTACTTTTAGCATTTATTTCTTGTTGTTGTATTGCTTGCTTGTTATATTTTGTCCTGTACAGTGACCTTGAGAGTTTTGAAAGGCGCTTGAAATAAAATGTATTATTATTATTTCAGGCTCTCCACATCATATGTGACTGACTTTTACATTATAACAACAATCACACACTAGGAATGTTATAAAGCGCCTATTTAGGACATTTTCTTTTGTATATTATCTGACTTTATAAACTCCCAACAACAATGTGCTTCAATTTTTTTTTCAGGCTAAATCTACCCAAGACACTGGCTGTCAGACTGATTTAGCTGCAAGAATGCACTTGTCCAGGCTGACGTGAAGCCTTACCGGCGTAGCAAAGGTGAATTATTTTTAATAATCTTCTATGTAAACATTTTATTATCACCTTCTAGTTTTAATTTGTTTTACAGATTATTGTCACACGTGATTTTATGCTCTTTTAAACATTTATAAATGTGTTGCTTCTTTGTTTTTACACAGCCACCCAGAATAGAGCTCACAGCCGCAGTGTGTCTTGTGACACAGGGACCATGACGGAAATTCATCTTCCAGAAAGTCCCAGAGCAGCGTCCACACCCCTGAAAAGACCAAGATGTGAGGTGTCTGCTGTTGATTCCAGCTTCCACCTCAGTGACAGTGCAAGCTCAGTGAACTGAAGGTAAAAAAAATTAAAACATTTCAGAATTTTTAAGATATTAACAATTAAATAAGTATGTGATTACATCATGACATCATGAAGGAGGCTACTGATTCTGCCCGTGACACTTGGTGGTGACGTGTGAGCTGATTCACCTGGTAAATAACTTTTACATTAAATATTTTGTTCTTTGCTATCAAAAGTAAATTAACTAATAACCTGCATTATTGCAGGACACTCAGCAAAATATGGACTCCACACCATGAGGCAGGCACACGTTAATAACTCTATAAGAGCACATAAGGTGAGCAACACCACATATTATTGTACACTGTCCTGGATTTGTTTTCTTTCTGCATCTCATCATTAGCCTGGCTGATCACCTGATAACTCGTCATCTGGTTATGACAGCATGAGGATGTCCTCACACACCTGTAACCTATCAGCTCATCTGGCAGAATAGAGAGAGAAGAGACAACACCACATCTCCTGTTCCTGGAAAGCCTTCAGCCATCCTTCGATGACTGAGAACCTCCATCAGCTCTGTCTCCTGTCTGCCTACAATTATTATAATAAATATTGTGTTTGACAAGTTTTTTTGTGCTGCCAAATATCTCATAGATTCCAGTTTTGATATTTTAATGGATATTTATAAATTACATTAATTGAATTATCACATTGTCGCATGTTTAGCTCTATTGTGATGGATTAAACTAGCACCTCACTGTTAAAAGCTCGTTTTAATTTCAAGCATGTTTAAGTATTTATGGACATGAACAAAAACAGGAAATATATAAATTGAGATTTATTTAATTAATATAACAAATAAGGGGGAAAGAGTCATTGAAAGGCACATTCTTCTGGAAGCTCCTGATCCTGACGACACCAGCAGGAGACCAGCTGCAGACACCAGAGGACCTACAGTAGAACCGAGAGAGCAGCTGTTATCACTAAATAAATAAATCAGGACAGTTTTAGGGGCTGAACACATTACAGAATAATTTTCTCATGGGGTAGTTTCATAACTTTCTATGCAGCAGACTAACTTGAGCCCAGGGCTCCTGGAGAGCTGCTATCCAGCATGTTTCAGTGGTTTTCCTGCTTTAACGGGTTAGATTAGCTGTTAAGCAGCTCAGCTATTTGTTGCTGATTAAAACCAGGTGTGTTAAAGCAGATAAACCTTTAAACATGCTGAATACTAGCTCTCTAGGGCCGTGGAGTCAAACCCTGCAGCTAATCCAATGCTATGGCTAACGGCTACTTACCATTCAGAGCTGGTTCTGTTGGGTCGCTTCCGGTAGTTTCAGGCAACTCACAAGCTCGAAACAATAAGGCTCAGGTCCGCTTGTCTCCTCCAAATAGACTTGGTCCCTTTCTTCTCGAGTGTCTGTGTAAGGAAGGGGAGAAACGTCCTCCACTTCTAATAACTGCTCAGAGTGAAGGGAGCTAGCATCGTCTAGTTAGCCATCGTCTTCGTCACTGCCGCGGCTCCGCCCTCTCGGTCCTCCAGGCAACGCCTACTAATGCAGTTTTTAAAATTGATATGTGGTTGGAGTAAGACTCTGAGGAGGGCAATACCACTTTAATTAAATTTCCATGTTGTGTCAAAGCTTTACATAACTACATTTTCAGCTGTCTTTCCTCTTGAAATCAAGTATTTCTGTATGACTG